TATAGACCCGGAGCCCACAGAAGTGAAGTTGAAGCTTATGTGGCTTCCTGAGCGCTTGGAGGACGCCTATGTGTGCGAGGCACTGCAAGCTTTTGGGAAGGTCAAGACAATATCACAAGAAAGCTGGAAAGTAGCGGACATGGAACAAATGCGGACGCTAAATAGGGATGTTGTTTTGTCCCTTGCTGATGGAGTTCGCATTGCGGATATTCCTCATATTCTTGTTGTCTGCGGAGTGCAAAGCCTCGTCCTGATACCTGGCCGCCCACCACTTTGCCTTCGGTGCAGTAAGGTTGGACACATCCGTCGAAACTGCAGGACCCCTCGCTGTGACAAAACTGTCGACGCTTCGGTCATTCGGCCGAAGATTGTGTTATGACATACGCCAACAAGCTGCGACAGCACACAAAACAGCCAGATGATAACCTACAAGAGCATATTATGGATGCCACCGAGGTTTTGGATGCAACGGGAGACACTCCGTCAATGTCATATGCTGCAAGCTCTACCACAAGGAATCCAGAAGAGGAAAGAAAGTCACTCGCTGTTGACACAGTTGAAACTTCTGCGTGCAAAGAGCCAAGTGAATCATGCAAGCAGCATACCCAAAACGACTCCGCGCAACCCCTAGCACAAGTAGGAGTTCCTATGGAGAGTGCTGTTGCGCTGACCCATAAAGATGTCGAAGAACCACCAGTACATGATAGAGACTCTGGGCTGGATGCCGCAGAAAGTTCATCGCCTGCTTGCGCTGCAGCTCCGCAGCAGCTTTTTCATCATGGTGCAGTGTCGGAAGATGATATGCAGATCTCTACGGATACAGCAATACTGAAACGCCGCGCATCGTCCAGCTCGGATTCAAGCAAAGGGAGTGACCCAGCGTCAGTGACTAGGGAGTCACGCCGTCGCCGAAAGTCCATGCCAAAGGGGAAGTGTCGCCGATCCCGATCTAGGAGGCCTGCTGGGGGCTCACGGGAAGCCTCAGCGCCAACTCTTGGGACTGATCAAGTGGGACGATAAGCGAATTAGAAGGTAGTCACCATGGCGCAGTCTGAGCGACTCATCTTTGCCACCTTGAACGTACGCGGCCTTAGGTCTTCGCAGAAACAAGCACAACTCCGTAGACTTCTCAATCGGAAGCGTCTCGACTTTGTCGCCATCCAAGAGACAAAGATCGAGAGCGAGGAAGAGACCGAGAAGGCCCTGCGGCCTTTTCTGTCTCAGTTTAATGTGTGTGTCTCACATGCTAAAGGTTTATCTGCGGGCTGTTGGTTGTTTCTGAGAAAAAGCCTACCCTGTTCAGCATTGTGCACTACTGTTGATGAAGAGGGCAGGTATATATGCTGTGATTTTTCGTTGCAAGGAGTGCCATGGAGAATTATCAATCTATATGCGTTTAATGATGTTCCGAAACGGCTTGAGTTATTTGAAAAAGTGCGTAATTTAATTGACGTCGACAGATGCACGGTACTTATGGGAGATTTCAACTGCGTATGTGAAGCTATTGATCGTTATAATTCGCCAGGAAAGAGAGACAGGAGTGGTGAGCTTTTATCCGGTATTGTAGATAATGCAGGACTAATTGACATCGGGGTCTCGAATCGGGCAACAGCATATACAAGAGTACAAGGCAGCTCTCATGCTCGCCTTGACCGGATTTACGTGTCCTCATCACTCCTATCTCGTAAAATTTCCTGCAGCACCGAAGCTGTATCATTTTCAGACCATTGTATTGTCATAGCGCAAATTGGCGAAAATCGTCACAAACAATTCCGTCCCCAGTGGGCCCTTTGGAAAATGAATGCGAAGCTCCTCTGTGATCAGGAATTCATGAATCGCGTCCAGATGGCATTGAGGCAATCTTTTTCGATTGGTTTTCATATCTTTGCTGCTTGGGAGCTTTTTAAACAAGAAGTTCGCTCTATAGCTTTAGAAATTGGGGCTGTTAAGTCTTTCTATAGAAAGAATGATGAAAAGATACTTGTTAAAAGTCTTTGCAATCTTTATGAGATGGAATGCGAAATGCCGGGAAAGTACATCAAAGATATTGAGAATATTAAGTGCCAACTACAGAGATATGATGCTGCTCGCTACCAAGGGGCACGTATTAGATCTCGGAACCAGCGCACTTTAAATTCTGAGCAACCGACGCGCCAATCTTTACTTGATGAGGAACGCCATGCGATTTCTAAAGTTATTCCAGACTTGTACTTTAACGATGTGCTCATAAAAGATAACGGAGACATTACTTTGGCGTTCGAAACGTACTATAACAGCTTATTTAGCTCTCCCTCTGATGATCCTGACGCTCACCTCAAGGCTAGTTTTGTTTCTCTTGTGAACCCCTTGAAGGACAGTGATTGTGAAGTCATTAATGGGCCCATTACTCTACAGGAAATCGAGCAAGCAATCGACAACTTGCCTTTATTGAAAACACCGGGGCCTGATGGCATCTCAGGCGAATTTTACAAAGCTTTCAAGAAAACGCTTGCCCCTATATTGCTGAATATTTTTCAGATGAGTTACGACATGGATACACTCCCACAATCTTTTTGCAAAAGTCACACTGTGTTAATACCGAAAACAACTGACAAGGAAAAACTTCGCTTCGTTGAGGGCTACAGACCAATATCGCTGTCAAATGTGGACTACAAAATGTTCGCAAAAGTATTAGCAAATAGGTTCCAATTTGCTATGTCGATCCTCATTGGGTCTCATCAGACATGTGGGATTAGAGGTCGATCCATACAAACCAATATACATGTCGCTCGAACAGTGCTTCAATACTGTCATGGTTCTCAAAAACACCTTGCAATGCTACAGGTAGACCTTGCAAAAGCTTTTGATCGTGTTCGTCATTCCTTCCTTTTTTCTCTTCTCGAACAAGCTAATGTTGGCAAAGTTGTTCTTAAAGGCGTTAAATTATGCTATAATGAATGCTCAACTCGTCTGATAGTTAATGGTCAACTCTCCAAGCCAGTTTCTATTCGCTCTTCTGTAAAACAGGGATGCCCGATGTCACCTCTTTTATTTGCACTTTATCTAGAACCACTGTGATTAAGCATAATACAGTCGAGTTGCATTCGTGGTTTTAGAATATTAGGCAGTGAGGTTAAAGTATTGGCTTATGCAGACGATGTCGCATTCTTTTGCACAGATAAACCAAGTGTCGAAAATGTGGTATATACTATTGAAAAGTTTGGCGTAGTATCAGGAGCACGTTTAAATGCCTCTAAAAGTTTAGGACTGTGGTTTGGCTTGTGGGGTAGCACACCGAACCACTTTGCAGGGATTAATTGGACAAGAACTCCTCCAACATACCTCGGTGTACCATTGCATGCATATAGATTCAGTGCGCATTACTGGAAGGAACGTGTCCCTAAGCTTGAACGACAGGCCCAGACATTTGTGCCCTATCGACTTTCGATATTTGGGAGAGCTGAAGCATGCAATACTTTCTTAGCGACAAAACTTTACTATGTATTGCAACTTATTCATTGCGCAAGATTCTATATACAACGCTTTCATCGGATTTTCGCTACTTTCATATGGTCTTCGACTTTTGAGCCCATGCGTCGTGATAATATATTCAAGCCAGTTAGTGAGGGTGGGTTAGGACTAAAACACCTTTATCTATGGCAAATAGTGTCCCGATTCTTCTTCTTTCGAGACAATTCCCATCCTGTAATCCGTTCCTTCTTGCAAGTTACACTTGTTGATTGCTTACCAGATTTAATTGTTTCATCCAACTTCTCGGAACGCCCATGCTTGTGGGGATTCATGCAGGAAGTTTACCTCGCAGTTCAGTTCCTTAAAGCTCGCTTCTCTGTAGAATACCTGTACTCAGTATCGCGCAAGATGCTGTATAAGGACCTACTGAGTACACTCTTCCCACCTCCATTGTACCGTTCACTGTACGCCAATCTTCCTGGTCACGATGTGTTGAAGCGAGTGCGCAAAATGTACATTCCACCGAATTCAAAAACATTCTTCTATAAACTCCACTCTGAAACATTGGCGGTAAAGACATGGTTAGAAAGAAAAGGTATTTTCATTTCGTCTGTTAACTGCCGTCTATGTGATGTGCCGGAAACGATTGAACATTGCTTTGTTAGCTGCAAAGATGCCATACTATTTTGGGATGTCCTTCAGCGAGCACTGAAAAAACGTTTCGTCATTAATTCTCACACAATACGTTATCTTCTGCCAGCAACACTTGATGAAGTACCATATGATATGTTTTTCCTCATGGGTTTGCACAGCTTGTGGAAGACACGAATGCAAGACCACAATGCAGAGCCCACCACCTCTTCAAGCGCACACTTCATTCAAATGGCTATCCACCTAAAAAACATCTACGACGAGCTAGACTTTAGACCGGACTGGTACTCCGTCTTAGAGAACTGTTTGACCTCACCCCTTTTTGTTTGTATAACACGATGTGAAGAACTCTTCATGTGAGGAACTCACGCTGTGTTAGCCATTTAGTGTTTATGAGTAACGCTTGAGCGCTTACTTTGGCGATTTGATTGTACTTTTGTTCGCTTGATTTTGTCTTTATTGCCCAAATACTTTAATAAATACCATGAAAAAAAAACACCGGTGTGGCTCAGTAGTAGATTACTGGGCTGGCACCCAGCGGACCCAGGTTCGAGTCGCCACTGTGTCATTGGTACTAGTTTTTTTTTTTAACGGGATGTGGTTACGGACACCGGCGGCAGCGGCGGCGGACAACTACACGGCGCTGCGCGAGACCCGAGTTGTGATCTCGTAACAGCTTTTGCTGTAAAATACAGAGGAAAGAGACAGAGGAGCGCCGAAGTTCGTGTTCGGATTGATCAGCTTGCACTGACTTAGTCGGCGGCACATGATAACACGATAGGAGTAAACAGCACGCGAGGAGATATGGCGGGGAGGCACGTTGTGATACTTAGAGACAGATAACGAACCTTTGCCAGTAGACCACCGCGGCGGGGCAAGTGATAACCAAATACACTCACCATAATGCCTGCAAATGCTGACTATCCTATCCTCTGTCATGAGATGAGAGACCCGGACGAGATGCTCCTGCGATTTCTGGACAGGCCACCTGGAAAGAGAAACAGATGCTGGTCAGGTACCGAACTCCACGACAGCGTTTGCGTGGCGGAACACATTTCGTCGGAGAATGCAACGCTGACAATCGTTCACAAACGAGATCGATCCGGGCACCACGAATCTTATACACTCGAGGACGGTCAGTGACGAACAGGCGTAACGAACGAGGAGGTTTGCGAACAATAGGCGAGGTATATCGACGAACATGCGGGGTCATTTCTTAATAAGGGGCGCTATAAAGCCTGATTCACTGCGTTTACACTCATCACGGTCGACTGACAATGTATGGCTACAACAATGAAGGAATAATCGACAGTATTGAAAACGTCATTTCATTAACAAATTCTAATAATAATAATAATAATAATAATAATAATAATAATAATAATAATAATAATAATAATAAATAATGTGGTAAAGCCTTTGAACAGTGGGTCGTCCTCTCCAGCGCCTTCTAGTGGGTCGCCCTTTTCAAAGAAGAAGAGCAGCTCGTGCAGAGAGTCGGTCCCCGCATTGACTGTCGCTGTCGTGAATCATCGCGGAGTGTCCGCCAATAAACCTCTTAACAACAACAATAATAATAATGTCCGAGGCTTTACGTGCCCAAACAGCAATATGATTATTAGGCCCGCCGTAGCCGAAATTTCGACCATCTGGTGCTCTTTAAATAACGTAAGCTGACATATGACACCGTACCCGGGCCTCAATAGTATTTCGCCTTCATCGATATGCGACTGCCGTGGTCGGGATCGAATTCGGGTCAGCTAGCAGCCGATCAACGAAACCGCTAGCCCACCGCGGCGGACAACTCGGATTAAAGCGAATTGCAAAGGAGGCACTTTTTTTTTTGCACTTCACTTCGTGATAAAACCCGTAATGAGCACTGTAGCGCATATCAGATGTCTATTGTCACCCCTTACGTTAATAAAAATTTTGCAAATCGCTGTCTTCCAGCAGGCATTTCGAATTCGCACGTACACACCCAGCCCCCCCCCCCCCCCCCCATACGTCCATACAAGCAGACATTCCCAACGCAGCGCTAAAACAGGCGCGCTCACGTCATCATCGTTTGACCGCGAAAGAGCTTCCCCTGCAACGTGCCTTGGGCGCAAGTGTGGCCGTTCTCACGCCCACGCGTTGGTGGTCGGCCGTGTCGTCCGGTGTATGTGGGTGGCCGCGACGAGAAAATAGCCGCGTAAACAAAGACGCGCACTCGGAGGGAGGAGACCAGGCCTCGAGAACTGTGGCTGCTCGCCACCTCAGAGGCTTGGCCGCGCTCCAGAATGGCCGTCGCAGGTCCGCACGGCCCGCATTCTAAACTGCCGACGTATACCGACCCCTGTTTGTGGCCACTATTAGTGGCAGCTAGCGGTATTTGCAGCACTCCACCTAGCTAGAGATAGAGCCGAACCAGCGCAGTGCAAACGAGACCCATCGCTCAAAGCGCCATCGCGCCATTGCACCTGCCGATAAACATCGATTTCATAAATCTCTGTATCACGTGAACGAATGAAGTGACGAAAATACGCTGCCAAGTGCTCACAAGGATGATGACGACTATCTGTCATGGAGTAACTAATGCGTGTTTAATTATATTGGCCTCACAACAACCCTTACTTCGAAACTGAGAAAATATTGGACTTATAGTGTGATGTCTTTTCAATATGCTCTCGAAGCAATCTTACGCACCGATAGCCATGGTCTACATTTTGCCGAAACGCTATTCCATGCGCTCGCGTCGTGCCTTCTTCGGTCAATGTTCAAGCAACGGGAAGTCACGATTTTTGGACCGCGCGCCCTCTTGCAGTGTGGATTTACTATCAGATGGGCACGCGAAGAAAGGCCGTAGAGTCGCCTCCTTTTCGCAACTGCATCGAGGCGGTGAGATACGAGATCCAGCGCTGGCGGACGCGCGCGCGCACGTAATCAAACGGCGCACGAGCCACGCTTCCGGCGACGACGGTTTCCTCGCGCTTTCTTCCAGGGCTGATGCAAGCGACGGCACGGGAATGTGCGCGCGGCGACGTGGACGCCTTTCGGAGATGATGCCCAGGTACCAGAGTTGCCAAAAAGAGACGCCGTAACCAATAAAGATCGCGATGTGTATGGCTGGACTGCGCCACCATTATCGACGAAATCAGCTTCTAAGCGCACTGGATAACAGACATGTGAGGGTATATTTTAACAACGAAACTGTTTAGGCTAGCCGTATTGTGTCCGACCCTATATTCAAAAAAAAAAAACACACACACACTGCCGCGTTCCCTAGCAACCACTTGTCTCGCACACACTTACACATACCTACCTACCTACCTACCTACATACATACATACATACATACATACATACATACATACATACATACATACATACATACATACATACATACATACATACATACATACATACATACATACATACATACATACATGCTGTTGTGCCACAGACATGTTCCTCGTTCGGGAGCACGTCTCACGAGATCGAGCCCTGTTCCGACGAACTGTCTCCCCCCTCCCAGCGCCGCCTTCCGTGCAGAAGAACCGTGCAGTTCCGGGGATAACGTCGCTTCCTCCGCCAAACCACTTTGCAGTTCCGGCTATGGCTGCGTCTCCTCAGCCGAGCCACTGTGCCGTTCCGGGGAACTGGTCTCGCAGAAGAGTCCCAAAACGCTATTTATGGCCGTGCCGGCCCCATGTTAGGAGGATTTTGCCCCAGCCGACGTTGTCGTGCTGGCCGGCTCTGTACAAACGACAACCAGCTACAGTAAACGCTCCCTTTTGTTGCTGTTTTCAAAACGGATTGCCTCCCTGCTTCGCCTTCGGGCTAAGGCTTCAGCGAAGTCCGCTCGACTGCTCGCCGCTCTTCGCCACCGCTACCATCGCGACACAGCAAATTCCTAACAATACATACATACATACATACATACATACATACATACATACATACATACATACATACATACATACATACATACATACATACATACATACATACTGTTGTGCCACAGACATGTTCCTCGTTCGGGAGCACGTCTCACAAGATCGAGCCCTGTTTCGACGAACTGTCTCCCCCCCCCTCCCAGCGCCGCCTTCTGTGCAGGAGAACCGTGCAGTCCGGGGATAACGTCGTTTCCTCCGCCGAACCACTTTGCAGTTCCGGGTATGGCTACGTCTCCCCCTCCGAGCCCGAGAACTGGTCTGAGAGAATGGACCAAAGACGCTATTTAAGGCCGAGCCGGCCCCATGTTAGGAAATTTTGCCCCAGCCGACGTTGTCGTGCTGGCCGGCTCTGTAAAACGACAACCTGCTACAGTAAACGCTACTTTTGTTGCTGTTTTCCAAACGGATTGCCTCCCTGTTTCACCTTCGGGCTAAGGCTTTATGGAAGTCCGCTCGACGGCTTGCCGCTCTTCGCCACCGCTACCATCGCGACAGAGCAAATTCATAACAGTGGTTGGCAGCTTCGGGATACGATATCTTACGTTTGGCACGCCGGATCAGACCCCTGTCCTCAACGTTTTGCTGCTCTGGGACCCGCTACCCCGATCTCAACGGCTGAAAAGTTGGATCGGATCTCCGAGCACGAGGACGACCGCCGTGATAGCGTTTGGCTACGCTGCGATACGCTACCCCTGCTCTCATCGTTCGGCAAGCTGGGACAAGCAACCCCGGATCTCAACATTGGCAAGTTGGACCGGATCCCTGAAGGCCTGATACTGTTCGACGGCAGCCACGAGTTGGACCATCGTTGGCTACTTTGGTTGGGTGAGTGCCCAACGTTTACTGTTCATTTCGCCAGACCTCTCTAGCACAGGCAGATGTTAGGAGAGCGTTTTGTGTTTTTTTTGTTGTATTCACCTACTTTAAACCACGAGATTAGTTTTAAAGTACGGTGAATATCAGTAGTAGAGCATCACGAGGGACGAGATCGCGATGGAGCAGTACCTGGTGCAGGACCTCCTTGAAATTTGTGGAGCCATGGGGATTTCCGCCGGGCCCGCTAAAACAAGGGAAGCGATTCTCGAGGTGATGCGGGCAGAGAATGTGACGGCCGAGGAAGCTGACGAGTTTTGGGAGCTCGTTTGTGAGCAAAGGCAAAAGGCCGAGAAAAGCCGCGAAGAGCTCGAAGCTCAAAGGCACGAAAAGTGGCAAGCCGAGGAGAGCAGAAGAAGGACAGAGCATGCTCTCAAAATGAGAGAGCTTGACCTTAAAATTCAAGCCCTTAAGTGGGAGCGAGCGAAACACCAGCTCCACAACTTTCAGGCAGGCGAGAACATCGCCCATTTTCTTGAGGATTTTGAAGTTGTCTGCTGTGATGTTGGTGTTAGCCGTGACCTTTGGGTGGAGAAGCTCGCCACGTTGTTGCCGCGCAAGATAGCGCATGTTTTGAATTGCTTACCCTTCGAGGAAGCAAGAGACTTCAGTTATGTTAGATATGCCTTGATAAGATATTTTTTTCTTTCAAGTCATGCTGACGAGGAAAGTCGGAGCGATGAAGACAAGGTTGAAGCGCCACGAAGGGCGCTAAAGGACGACGCCCGCCGAAAAGAGCGTGAGGATGAGGCGCGTCGTAGAGCGCTAGCAGTAGAAGCGCGTCGAGAAGCGCGTAAAGATAAGGCATGCCGAAAAGCTATGGAAGCTGAGGCCCGTCGCGAAGCACAAGCCGCAGAAGTGTGCCAGAGAGAGCGAGACGCCGAAGTGCGTCGGATAGAGCCAGACGTTCAGGTGCATCGCAAGGAGTTTGGGGCCGAGGCCCATCGCACGGCTAAGGACGCCGAGGCGCATCGCGAAGCGCTAGAGACGGAGCCGCTTCACAGCACACATGATCCAGATGCATCGCATCAAAAAGAGTTTGACAAGTCGAGTCGTAAGGCGCTACAGGTTGACGCCTGTCGACAAAATATTGAGCAGGATGCGCGAGATAAAGCGCTACAGAATAAAGCTCTTAAAAGAGAGCACGAGGCTGACTTCGAAGGGCAGAGAACAAGGGCTA